GACATACTACCGCCAGTAGCGGCACAGTCTACCAGACTTGGAACATAAGGTATTTACACCCATACAAGGCCTGATCCCCTTGTAGGATTGCCATCGTGCGACGCACATGTCTACATCCAATCTCCGGAGAGTGCCCCGCACTTTAATTCATATGTTCTCCTTGTCCGACTGATGTCGTGCCTTCCGTGACCCTTGTCAGGGGGCGAATGCAATACACGGCTCTTAGCCTTATTCGCGACTCGATCCTAGATAGGGTTTGAGTTCGACTCATGACTGAGTCTCTCGTGAATAGTCATTGAGACAGGGTTCTCATGACCGCTAGTCATACTAGGTCGATGGTGAAACATCGCGCTAGAGATTTAGCTGGCGTGGAGAGATTCCACGCTACTAGATAAATGCTAGACGAATCTTCCACGCGTTCCGTTTTTGGATCGTGGAGTGAGTAGGATTGCTACCGCAACCTACTCTATCACACTCTACAGTCTCCCGCGGGAGTTCAGATCTACGATCCTTTGATTGTGGATCTCTCTCGTTGATTAGTTTTCATAGCTTTCTAATCCTCTCATAACTTTCATTCTCTCAAACTCAAAACACTCGAAAGATCTTTACACTAGCTTTTAGCGTAGTGCACTTGCGAAACCCTGCAAACTCTGGTGTCACAACTGGGATGGTTGGATACATCACCGACAAGAGAGCAGGAACGAGACCACAGCAAACCATCAATGCCATTGATCCCAAGGTAAAAGAGTTCGAACTTTGGTGTGAATATGCCCACAAGGATGATCCCTACAAGCACAATATGGACAAAGACAAATGCTACAAATTTATGTTTCTACAAGCAATGCGTGCCAAGAAGAAGACTGGTGGCAAAAGAGCGGCCAATGGCCAACCCAAAGTATCATTCGACAAAGAGCTCTGGGACAAACTGGACAAGATGTTCAAGGAGGGAGGCGCGAACCTGACTCTCCAGCCACCAGCAAAGCCTCTTGGTTTTTCCAGCTTCAACCAATACAGAACAGCGCTGAAAGGAATCCACAACAAGCAAGTTGCTCTGGCAGTCAATGCCATTCCTTGGGAGATGATATGGGATGTTGACTGCAGAAATCTGGAGAAGCATGTGAAAGAGAGACTGCCTGCAATTCGCAAAGCCAACTATGAAGAGAAGATTGACCAAGAATTCGCTCCATATGCATGTGTACAGAGCTTTGGAGAGATCGAGAGCGCCATGTGGGATGCGGCAAAATTGGCTAGCGGCAAGAGAAGCCTCTGTGCAAAGCTGCGTCACCGCATGTGTACACTGTTGCTCACCAGTGCCATTTTGCGAAGTGAATCAATTTACAGGGCTGAACTGTCCGATATGTTTGGTCTTTTTCCACCGAAGCGTGACGAAGACGTCCATAAGCCCTTTGTTGCAATTCTGCAGATGGCTCAAGGGAAAACCAACCACGGACGGAAGCTGTTTGGCCGAGCGACTAGACATAATGATGTCAGACGATGTGCTCTTGGAGCCATTGCTATGTACCTTCAACTTCGCTTTGAGTGCACCAACGAATTTGCCAACTTCACTGTGCAGGATTGGATGGACAACGAGAAGTGGTTTGACATAAAATTCCTGATCGACATCCAGTGCAATGACAACACCGTGAGCATGAAGAACGACAGCTACAGCGACCACATCAAGGACATCCTGAAGGAGCTTGGTCTCCCAAGCAATAAGCTCCTCCATCTTGGGCGCAATATTGGAGCCAAGACATTGGAGCTTTATGATGTGTCTACAGATGACATCAAGAAAATGGGAAATTGGAGTCCTAGTGTCTTTGACACCAGCTATTCCGGCAAGATCCACATGCAACAGATTCGCCAGTTGGCTGGGTTCACTAACTCTTCTAAGATTTACTACTTGCCCAGGAGTGAAGCCTTGTCATCTGAGGCACTGCTTCGCCTCACCCCCATTGGTAAGTGGTGTTACAGGGCTTTGGATGGTCTCCTTGAGGCAGATACCACTTCAGAGAAGCAGACTGCTGTGGAGACTTTGAAGTTTTTTGTTGAAATGAACACTATCTTTCTCCAGGACGTTGCAGCATTGATGGTTCTGTACCCAGCAAGGATGGAAGAGCATCCTCTTCTTCTGTCTATGGAATGTTTTCAAACTCAGCTTTTTAAGGTATGGATTGCGCTCTATTTTATTGTTGTCTACTACCATGTCGCTCACTGCTCTTGCCCTTTCTTCTCAGGACTATAAAGATTATCTTGCTAACACTCTTCACAAGAGCGAAAACCCACTAGACGCGAACTTGGAAAAGGTACTTCCTGGAGTTCACCAGCGCTCAACATTGCACAAGCCGCAATCAGGGAGGTTGCCAACAAGGTAGACGACAACACGCTCATGGTGGTCAAAGAGATGAGGGAAGGCTTCGTGTTTGTTCAGAGGCAGATAGAGCAACAGGCTGTTACCAATCGCACGGCAACTGACCGTAGAGTTGGGGCCTGTCTGGTTCAAGCTGGTGCTCAAATCCTGCATGAGACTGAGGAAGAAGCCACCGGTACAGATGGGATCCCTAAAGATGCTCTTCCGGAGCTGGAAGAAGAAGATCCAATCGAGGATGCAGACTTAGAGATACCGCGTCCTCTTACCGGTTCTCCTCCAAGAAGACTATGGAATGAGCCAGTTGTCGTTGATCCACCAGGTGGCTCCTTAAGTGATGCCAGCAAATTCGTCCTTAAGACCAAGCACACAACCATCCAAGGCATCTGAGATGAGTGGTTTGGCGAAGCTGAGTTTGCCGACTCTTATGGCGGCATTGCTGGTGGGAACGACAAGTATGGCACTGCGTGGAGACGACACCTGAGTAACAGCCATCTGTCACGTAATGGGAGGATTGTGGTCGCCATTATGGATCAGGCCAAGGTGCAGAAGGTGCAACCAACTGTTATCATTCCACAGTGGCAGCCACTGTTCGACCAAGCTGGTGCAAGTGCGTCGAAGTTTGTTGTCGCTCTCCAAGAGCTTGGCCATCTACCGAAAGGGAAGCCCCGTGGAAAGAAAAAGAGCAAGAGCAACACCGATTAAATAGTAAAAGTTAACACTAGTAATGTTTTTTCTGTCGAACCATCTCTATCTCTTCTTCTAATAGCGCAACTGTTTCTTCCAAGTCGTCAATGTGCACTCGCATCTTTAGCATCTCAGCAGCCATGGCATTGATCTTTGCTTCCAGCTCTCTTTTCGAAGGCTTCTTCTTTGCGTCTTCCTTTTCAGTTGATTTGATGGCTCGAATTGATGTCAGGTAGATGGTTCTTTCACTTCGAATATCATCATCTACAGCTACTCTGCACATACAGGAACCAGCTTTACCTTTGTAGTCACCGTAGCGATGTTCTTTGTAGCGACCGGCAATGATCCTCACTCGTTGTTCCAGTTAATTGATAGTCAGCCATTACCTCAACGACGTAACAGCTGTAATACAACAAAGGTAGTTCTTTAAAGCATCGACTTGAACTGTAGCCGTACCTCTTCTGTAAAAAGTGACCTTGTTTCTATCATTTGTACGTCAGTCGCGTACGTCAGCGATAAGATCTTTCGCGATGTTCCAGCGAGGCTAAATCAGCGAGTTCCGGCAAGGCCCTTCGCTTTTCGCTAAAAGTGAAGGCCTTTTCTCCCAACGCTCAAACGGGATTGCCATGCAGTTTTGAATCTACGACCTCCAACTATGGCGAACTCTGCGCCATCCTCAGGATGACTCTGCGCCATAATGTCTACGTAGGTTTTGTACTGAGCATGACGGGCGGAGACCGGTAATAGACCGTAGACAAAAGGTCGACCTGAGCCAAAATCCACTTTTGGCTGCAGTAGAATCAGTACTGAGTCACGGTCCCTTTTCAATCCCAGGGATTTGCCAAAGACTTTTTAATGAGTAAATACCTGGTACTGAGGAGAACACCACCTTTGGATGATCATTCTTTGGATGACCCATTGGATTCCACTTGTCAGTTAAGTAAGTACACGCCCTGCATTACATAGAGGACATCAATTTCTTACTTAAAGGCCATGGCATTGGGCTACTGGAGTAGCCTAAAGTTGCAGAGAAGAACTGGACTACTCAAGTAGCCGAAAATCTAGACTACTCAAGTAGCCCAATGTGTAGCTAGTGCACTGGGCTACTTAAGTAGCTCAACATCTGATTATTTGGGCTACTCGAGTATCTCAAAGTTTGAGCTACTTGAGCAGCCCAAACATATGGGCTAAGCAGCCCAAACTTATTTTTGGAGGTTAGGCTACACAAGAAGACCTTCGGGACACGACACTGCAGCCTATGCAACAGGGAGCGACTCGAGATACTGAAACGATCCAGAGAATCGCCAGAAAAGCTGATCAACTCCTGCAACGAAATATACGGAGCATGCCGACATAAACCTCGATTTCATAAGTACCACAATAGCACAAGCACTGATGATTCCCAAGGGGGATGAAAAAGTCAAACAACCGAAAAGTTACCACAGAGTAAAGCCTGTGTTTTAGCGATTCGGCAGTTTGTGAGTAAACTTACTTAGTTCAGTCACTTTTTGCTAAAATCGTATGAGCCCAAATAGGTGACCGTTTTTTGAATGGTGGCATACAGCTATAAGCCACGCGTCATAAGCCAAAACAGTCTAAGTACACTTCCAATGGACACGGCCAATTTGGGCTACTCGAGTAGCCCAAACACAAAGGAGCGAATTTAGGCTACTCGAGTAGCCCAAACGCAAAGTGGCGAATTTAGGCTACTCGAGTAGCCCAAACACAAAGGGGCGAATTTAGGCTACTCGAGTAGCCCAAACACCTTTGGGAGGAGAAGACCGAGCATCATGGAGTGATTTGGGCTACTGTAGCAGCCCACTGAAGGTGATACAGGTAGTGCCTTTAAAGACTTAACTGACAAGTGGTATCCAATTGGTCATCCAAAGAATGATCATCCAAAGGTGGCATTCTCATACTGAGGTACCGGTACAGTCGTACGGTCGTTCTACGATGCACTGGTGGTACGAGCTCCCTGTCCTCTCAAATAGCGCATGTTGGCAAAATCCCTGGCATTAATCCTTTGAGACATTATCTCTGTCATATCCCAAGCCATGTCATTTAGTTTGAAGAAAACCTCGTCACCGCACAAACATTCAATCGCCCAATCCAAACGATTATTGAGTTCGAATTCCTGCTCGCCGTCGCTGCCACCATCTTGAAGGGATTGGGTAACCATCTTCATCTCGTGAAACCGTTCAGAAGAAGGGCCTGGCAGGTCCCACTCGCGAACAATGTTATCGCAAGCCAACACGATAGAGCTGAGAGCAAATCCGTACTTCATGTTGATTTGTGGACTGCACCAGCTGGAGAGCTAAAGACCCAGAGTGAGGTCAAGGCCCAATTTTCCATTCCAGAACTCCACCACAAGAAGTTGATCGAATGGAACCCACATGTTGCTGAAGACATGGGGGCGCATGACATGATCATTGGAAGGGATGTCCTCTCTTTCCTTGGCATCGACATTCGCTTTTCTAATCTTTCAGTCGAATGGGCTGGCACAGAGATGCCTTTCAAGCCTGTGGATGCCACAGCGGAGAAGCTACAGAACGTGTCGACTCCGTCCGTTCCATCGTAGTCAGATCAAATGCTACGTACTGGAATTTTTTTCGACGTAGAAATCCTACTAGTACTGCGATCTACATCCACCCATCTTCCTTTGACGCCTCTTCTCTTATACTCTCATACTTCCGATTGACGCCCTACGATCCCTTCCACATCAAGTCCTTGACGCTCTCCTTCCGATATCAAGTCCTTGACGCTCTCCTTCCGATATCAAGTCCTTTGACGCTCTCAAGCCCTTCGGATATCAAGCGCCATTGTCGATCCTTTTTTAAAAAGCACTCATTTGATTGCGAAATTCTGCTGACATCATCAACGCCTGAAGAACATCCGTCGTGTCTTACCCAACTCCACACGGACAACCACTTGCAACTCTAGCCTTTTTGCAATGAGTGCAACTCTCTTTCCAACAACAGCACCTACCGGTGCACCAAACCAAGACGCCAACAGTGGTGAACTGGGTATTAGAGGCGGATTTCCAAAGCTGTCATCGGGGCAGCGGCGTTCGCTGCAGGTAAATGCTTCTTCACAAAGTCGGGATCCAAAGAAAATGAAGCTTCATCAATTCGACGACATCCCGCCCGTACAGGATGGAGTTATATCTGCAAGCAAAACTCCATTTTTTGATAAAAGACGGAAGGTTGAGATAGTCATCAGCAAAGTTCACGATGTTGGGCTGTTCTTTGGGGACGTTTTGGATGTGAGCAAGGTTCCGGATTACGAGATGCCCGGCTATCTAAAGAGCGCATTGAAAGGCCAGATGACGTCCGAGGAAACACTGCGTAATGCGGTGTACACAAACCTCATTGATGACCATAGAATCGCCTTTCGAGAATCAAGTATCAAGGAAGTTAAGGGATGACGAAAGTGATGCACCGCGCAACAGGCAAAAAGGGCAAAGTCTACAAAGAAACAGATCTCGCGTCGCTCATGGCCGAATATGGAGAAACGCAAGGTCACAAGTCCGACAATATGCGAAGGATCATGAAAGGATTGCCTGTCACAACAACTTCCAAACCAGACTTGGCGCCGCTTGATACCAAGGATGGAGCTGATATCCAAATCCGATTTGGTGAGTTCAAAAATGCAAACAATTACAACACAGCAATAGCCTGCACGCAATGTACCAAGTATCTTCTTGCTCTTATGTATTGGCTGCGCACGGAGCTTGGTAAGCCTGTTGAGGCTGTTTATGGGTTTTATTTTTGCGGACGCAGATGCCAACACCAAAACGGTTTCTATGTTGTTGGTTTCGTCAAGCTTTCTGCACCAACTAGCTACGCTTGGCGAATGCCTCGAAGTAGAAGTCTACGAGACTGCAGATATGGTTGAGAGTAACTTGCCAATGAACGCTTTGATTCACTTCCTGAAGCATGGGAACCGTTGGTCTGGTAGTGGAGAAATGCTGCAAGATGGAATTATGAAACAAGAGAGACGGATTTCCTCCCTGTACACCTTGCCGACAAGGCTTTGGGGAGACGATCCGGACAACGGCAGCTTATTCTTCACAGAACGCTATCTATTGTGTTCATTGTCTCGGTAGCTGGCCTGAAACAGTTGCTGCAAGAACACTTCAAGAAGTTCAAGAACAATTTGTCCTGGGATGGGTTCTGCCAGCGGGTCGATGCCTTTGTCTCAGAAGAGTGAAAGCGTTACAGTTCCTCCCACGACTCAGAGTATCCGTGAGTAGATTGGGTCATGTTTTATGAGTCAACACGATGGAACAGAGAACGCTGGCAAGAACACGTTCTCAACGAAACCAAAAAGGACACGGTAAATTGGAGTATTCAACAGGAGTAAAGCATCCTGCCAACAAACCGTTTCCCGCAAATACCACGTTGACTTCCGTATCAACTACCACGATGTATTGATCCAACACGCTACAACTAGCGTTACTGATCGCATCAATCAAAAACTCACAACACAATTATTAATTAATAAGAAGCGAACTTTGCATTTAACTTCACTCGTCATTGAATAGTTGCAGTTGATCATCGTAATCGCGCGTGGTACGCTACCTCTACAAGAATCCCTCTATTCAAGTAGTATTTCCACCAACGAAGACGTTAGCAGAATTAACTAGTCGACAGTAACGCACATGCCACACCATTCAATCAAGAAATGAGCCGATGAACAACCCAAGCATAAGCATGTCCATATGCCACCCTATGCGGCGAAAGATGCTATCACACCCCAGAGGTACACTGCATCTCACAATGCAGCAATCGCACATGTCTGAATACAAAGGAATCGACGGATGAGTGGAATCTCCTACTTCATCACCAAAGATGAAAGATTATAGGATACTACCAAGCTTACCAACGACACCAACGGCAATCTCAAGACCAGTAACCTCTCACCAAGGAAGAAACTACTGCTCGCAGCTGCGATACAGAGTAGATAATCACAATTAGCGTACGTCCAGGCAGGAAAGGCACCCATCGCGTCGTAAACACTGACGGCCGACGCACTCTACGCTTTCAGGGTTGGACTCTTCCAGCCACACGGCGAAATCGTCCCATGGAAACAAATGAGACGCAGCGATGCCACGATGACCGATGGGGAACGTGCAATCGCACTTTGCGACAAGAACAATAAGCCCGTCCGCTCAGAGTCCAGAGAGTTTCGCGATGAATCATTCTTCATCAAATGGAGGAAAAATTTCCTCAACACGCTCAAGTCTCAAAGTCTCTCCCACCTCATTGATTCTGACTTCACGGTCACCAACGTCGAACTAAACGAGAAACAACGAGAAAGGATGTACAAGACCTTCGAAGACGTCTTCCAAGAAGCACAGGCAAAATCTGTCGTCCTTGCCAAAGAAACCAGCAAGGACACTCGCGCGATTTGGAAGGCAATTGACGACTATTACTCCAAGTCCCTGGTCGCAACCCTGCGCTCGGATAAGATTTCGAGTTATCTCACCTCCGCCGATATCCCAGAAGGCACATGGAGAGAATCCCAAGCTGGCTTCATATCCAACTTCCTTGAACAATTTCGGCAGTACATTGAGATCAGCGACGAGCCTTACACTGAACAACAGGGGCACGTTTCTTGGAACCCTCAATCTCCAAGGCACCAAATCTCGCTCTCGTACGACTGTCTCCCAATGCAGACCAAGAAAGCTTCAGGCGACACCTCCCAGTTTACTCTCGAGCAGTACCGAGCGGCCCTTCACGAGCAAGCACAACTCCAAGACAATGCAAATCATGCGAAGTCTACACGCTCTCGAAGCAACGCACCTCGTCGCACCTACCAACACGGAAATTTTCTCTACGATGGACAGCGGAAACCTGTTGCGACACCTATGAGGCATACGTCCATGATATGGATACACCGGTGAAGGCCTATTGTCAACTCATCAGACGGACACTCGTGGTCCACGCAAGATCATGATGAACGCAACCACATTGCGGTCGTTATCCAAGTCGAATCAAGAGGCATGGGATAATATATCCGAGCAGGGCAAGAAGAGCATCCTTGACTACATGGCTGACCTAGCTGTTCGAAGTAGTCAACACAACTCTGGGCAATCACGCCCATCCCGCTCAGTTAACTCTCACGATCTCCTCGACATGGGCAGCACCACGCCACGAACAGGCAACCTAGAAGTGTCCTCGCACCAAACCAAGTCCAACAAGACGGACACTGACCTATTGCAGCTCGCGTGCAACAAGACGCATTCAACGCCAACGTCCTTCGCCGGTGATATTGCGTCCGTCCTATCACAGTCGACCAATACGGCTACACGCGAAGTACGAGTCAACGAGGTTGATCGCTCATCCTACGAGTCATACTCCCACGAAATGTTGATCAGCGAGCCAGAGATTGAACCTGATTGGCAACCCTTCGTATATTTCTCTTATGGATCCGATGACAGCCCAACACAAAACTCTCGTGGCGATAAGACGACACCATTGGACCTCCACGACGTACCCAACGATGCGGAACCTCCAATGCCCGCACCCGACGATGGAGAAACAATACTTCCTTCCGATGATCAGGCTTTTTTCACAGTTTGCTTACGGTTCCTCCCAATACGAAGCTATGGATACGAATACCCAACAGCAAATGCAAGAGGATCATGAAGGTTACAACACCTTCGAACCGAAAGTCCTGTGCGATGAACACTTCGACCTCTGGACACGGCGGCGCATCTCCTCAGCCAAGGAGGCACAGCTAGAGAACCTACGGACACCGCCTAGGCACACTGCATGCTTCCACCAGTACCATCAGCAGGCAAGCCCGCTATCGGAGCACTACGAACGCTCCTTTTCAGTGCTGGACCTCTATCAGGCCCACAACGGCTG